CTTAGTGACCTAACGTAACATTTCAGCTCTTCACATTGACCAATATCATACAAATACCTCATGTAACATTTCAGCTCTTCACATTGACAATATCATACAAATACCTCATGTAACATTTCAGCTCTTCACATTGACCAATATCATACAAATACCTCATGTAACATTTCAGCTCTTCACATTGACCAATATCATACAAATACCTCATGTAACATTTCAGCTCTTTAAGTTGACCAATATCATACAAATACCTCATGTAACATTTCAGCTCTTCACATTGACAATATCATACAAATACCTCATGTAACATTTCAGCTCTTCACATTGACAATATCATACAAATACCTCATGTAACATTTCAACTCTTTAAGTTGACCAATATCATACAAATACCTCATGTAACATGTCAGCTGTTTACGTTGACCAATACCATACAAATAATCTATAACATAGGATCTTGACTAATATTTCCAGTGATCCATTTAAGAATGAAAAAAAAAAAATTTCGATTAAATAGAAAATTCTATTTGAGTCTGAGGAAAGCCTGTATATGCTTGGAAATTATTTGAGTGATGTTTTTTTTTTGTTGTTGTTGTTGTTATTATTGCTATTATTATTTTTGTATTTATCGAGTAACGTCACTTCCGTTTTTAATAATTTCAATTCTTTTCATCATTTACCATGTTTTTAATTATCGGAATGCGTGATTTTAAAAAAAAGGAATTAAGATGAACTTGACTTTATTGTTAATCCCCCTCCGGTCCCTTTTTTTCTGATTGTTTTATAATCTTCACATGTGACTGGGAATCACAGTGTTTGGCGTAGTGGCTCGTTGGATACGTTCACGTTACTATAAATAGCCTGCCAAATAATTGCGGCGGTGATGCGGGAGGTTCCCCCATCTACTGATGTCACGTGACAAAATAATGCAGTCAAGAAACGCAAGCCAAAAAAAATCACAATTAGGTCAACTTCTGGGAATTAAATTTTTCGTTACAGGCATTCACGTGCATACATTCCCAGAGAACTACTATTTTGTGAATAATCGTTGACGACAATTTAAATTAACTGTGCCATAACCAACGAAAGACTGGGTGGGGACTGTCCGACATTGGCTGGGGACTGTCCGAAATTGGCCGTGGACTGTCCGACATTGGCTGGGTACACCGGTGCCCCATATCTCAGCCCAAAATAAACGATATCCAATCCCACTGGAGCAGTCAAGGCGCTGGCCATCAAGGAATGACCAGCGTAGAAAAAATGGCCCGTATACTGGTGTCCGGCCGGACGGCAGAGGTTCCGAGATTATTCGCATCACGTAGCAATCTCAGTGTCAATGGGCGCTCTGGCCACTGTGTCTTCTCTTTCATGGCGTCTACTTGGCCATCTCATTATAGATGCCTGGAGTTGCCTCTAATCAGTATCGCGGCGCAATTATTTCAGTTATCTCTCTCGTATGCCAGCCGAGCATCACACACTGTATATATAGCTATCCTCAATATTTTAATATATATATATTCATATAAAGATAATGGCTAATAATTGTAGACAAAATAATAGAGAACAGAGATTCTCTTGATTACATTCTTTAGCAAAGTCAGTTTAGCATAACTAAAGCATTTTCTAAGATCCTCTTATTATTTTTTAGTCTAAGTTTATGAATATTTTCTTACTTTCTTTATTTTTCTTTTTATTTTTACATTACTATAAACCCTTTAAAAAGAACACAGAGAGTCTATCATTGTGCCAACTTCTGCATTATATTAATACTCAATTCACGTGTCCTGGACCACCACCTGTTAATTTAATCAAACACTCCATTCATTTTTAAACGGAAACATTAACATGAATTGTTCCCGTTCGTCTTTAGATATTAACTTCGCTTTTGTGTGCTTAGGGGAAAAAAAAACATCTTCGGGGGGTTCATAGACGCACTTCACGTCAACATATCGAGCTGAAACCTTGCACATAGACTCGCTGCCGATGATAAAACATAATTTCGAATTTTCAGCCCCACCCTGACCCCCCCCCACCAAAATTAGATTTTCTTTTTTTTTTTTCCAAGGGGAAGTAGAAGGACATATGATCGCACTGATTTCACGGGAAAAAAAATTCCCCGATAACTGCGCTAAATGAGATTCTTAAAGAAACACACAAAAAAGTGTTTCGTGCGTAATATTTACATCTGTTTTTGTTGTTTTTTTTAATTGTTGCTGTGATAAAGCTGACGTGTAAAAGCCGGTGGGTAATTAGACTTTTAATATAAAATACAATAATTAAATAATGCAAATAAAGAATTTATACCAACAACTTTCTTTTTGTTTGGGGGGTATATTTAATTGTGCACAGAAACACACACTTTTCTCTCGAATGTTGGTGGCCGCCCAGCCTCATTAATTGTGCACAGAAACACACCCTTTTCTCTCGACTGTTGGTGGTGGCCGCCCAGCCTCATTAATTGTGCACAGAAACACACCCTTTTCTCTCGACTGTTGGTGGTGGCCGCCCAGCCTCATTAATTGTGCACAGAAACACACCATTTTCTCTCGACTGTTGGTGGTGGCCGCCCAGCCTCATTAATTGTGCACAGAAACACACCCTTTTCTCTCGACTGTTGGTGGCCTCAGCCTAATTAATTGTGCACAGAAACACACCATTTTCTCTCGACTGTTGGTGGTGGCCGCCCAGCCTCATTAATTGTGCACAGAAACACACCCTTTTCTCTCGACTGTTGGTGGCCGCCCAGCCTCATTAATTGTGCACAGAAACACACCCTTTTCTCTCGACTGTTGGTGGCCGCCCAGCCTCATAGTTAAATTAAAAACTAACCTTTTAGCCTTCTGGATTTGAGACCAGTCTTCTTTTACTGGCTATCCCGTTTTGACCTACATCCTTGATACTACCTATTCCTGGACACTGTTTCAGCTGTTAAATAAAGGCTTAAAATGCTATCATTAAAATTCCTTCACCATCAGAGTATCCTTAAATCACTTGATACTTAAAACACCAATGGGACAAAATCCTGGTTCTTCACATTTTTTAAAATAAAAATCGAGATTTCTGAAAAGCCCTCTTTAATTGATCCCCAAACGTCGTATCATATACTGATTCTTACATGACATTTTCCCTATCTTCTTACATATAACTTACACGTGAAATGTCTCCACCACCCTACACCGCTTCTGCCGTCACCAAATTGTCCACTATTCGCTTTTAATGTAACGCCCATGACTGTTCTTAGTTCGCGTGACGTTCATCCTAAAGGTATTTGACACTTTGTAGTACCTAAAGGTATTTGACACTTTGTAGTACCTAAAGGTATTTGACATTTTGTAGTACCTAAAGGTATTTGAGACTTTGTAGTAAAACTAATGATTGGGGAGCGGTTGGAGGGTAGGGTGGGTGTGTGCTTGGGGTAGAAGACGGCCAAAAGCCGAACTCCATCCAGAAAGGGGTGACAGCCGGGACATCATTATTGTTGCACTTCATAAAGCAAAGGTGGCCAATGGTTAATGTTTATTATGTGTTCTACGTTTGACGGTTTTCTGGGGGGGGGGGGGGGGGGGGGGGGGGGGGAACGTCGAGGACCGACCCGGTCGTTCCAACCCCAAGCTGCGCCACTGGGGGAGGGATTTGTAATGTTGGCACATAAGGAAAAGATACTTCCTGAAATCTCTCCGCCTGAAATGTGTAAATGGCGTGAAAACCAAAACCAGAGGGTTTGTTTGTTGTTTTTTTTTATGGCTGACAGAAGGTACACACAATTTACGTTCCATCAGTCCCATTGAACTATATCAAATATATGACGCTTAACGAAATAAAATATATATTAACCACAACAATCGTGTGTGTTTTGATGATTTCGACTCTGTCGGGCAAAATGCTGTGTGAGACCGACAAATAAGCAAGTTTATACTTAACAGATCTACTTGCTCACTGGGTTTATTGACGGATATTAGGCTACCGAGTTTGTTTGTGTTGTACAGCCGGTGTCGAGTCTGAATGTCTATCCGTAAAGATTTTTTGCTGCAAGTGTGCACATGATTACATTCTTGAAATAGGCAAGTTATATAAATATATATATATATATGTGTGTGTGTGTGTGTGTGAGTTTCGTTCTTCGCATGCAAAGCTGACCAAGTGTTCCATTTGAGTAGTATGGACTTGAGCTGTACTTTGTTTAACAGTGAGGGAGAGTTGAGCATTTCTTAAGCCTCACTCTCTCGTCCTGGGCTATTTGCTAAAATGGCAGTAGATGACCAGGCAAGTGTTTCTTGTGCATTATTGTGCGTTCCGCGTCGCGTTGTGCTGTCAGAATTTTTTATTGTGTCGATGTAATGTCATACCACCAACGGGACTCCACCTCCGGATTCGATTACAAAGTTTGACTACTTTTTTTTTGTGAGTTGCCATCCAAGGTTAACGAGCCCAGTTCTCCCTTGGGATATAAATATTCATATGTAGTGCGTCAGCGGGTAATGCAATAGCCATGTACTTTAATTAAATTTTAAAAAAAAAAACAGACATTGGAAAGTTTATCTAGCTGTGTCTTTGTTCCTGTTGTAGAACATTTCTCATTGTGTCACATGCGCAGCTATGATGAAGCACAAATCTCGCAGCGTCATATTTTATGGTGTCAAGGGGTTTACTTTGTAGCGTGTCTAAACATGATCAAATGTCTTGTGCGATGACGTTTCCTGTGAAGTCCCTTTGGGCGTTCTGGAGCAGCTAATAAATGTTTTTTGAAATTATTTGGATTAGGGGAAAAGAAATGTGAAATAAATATTCAATTTCCCGGAAAAAATTTTTACGGGCTTTTCTCGTTCTAAAATTAGAAACAAAAAAAAAATGACGCATTTGTCCCTGATCTGTATCAAATAGTCTGAGTGCATAACCTAAATGACCGGTGTTTCCAAGTCTTCCAATGGATCCACCATTTAGATACTGCTGAAAAAAAACAAAATAAAAAAACTAAAATGGATCAACAACGATTGCCCGCCGTGATGGCATTCATCGCAGCTGCCGCCGTCGGCATCAACATGGTGTGCGGCGCGGTGGTGTACATCGCGGTGCTCCTGCCCAACAACCCGAAATTCCCGTTCACGATGATGCGCGCCAGGCCCGCGATCGACGTCACCTTCGCCAAGCTGCAGCACATGGGGTTCTTCACCAACGACACCGTCAAAGTCATGTGAGTACCAACAGCATTTAAGATGAATAACAGATATGAGATTTTAGTGTTGTATTGTTAGAAAGTAAATATGATTTATATCCAATCCTGAGCACAGTAAAATAACAGTTTTTTTTTTTTTTTTTTTTTTGGGGGGGGGGGGGGGCACTGTTTAAAAAAAATGTGTATAATAGAGTTGAAGAGTATATTTCAGTAATAATAATTTAAAAAAAAAATAACAGATGTTTAAGATGACAATGTCGAGCTAAAGTTATACAGCTCAAAATTACGTTCACCTTAAAAAAAAAAGACAACAACAAAAAAAATGTCTGTATTTTTAGAAAATATGAAACACGGGGATGAGGGAATAAAAAGTCGAAACAAAAAAATTAAGGTGTCGACAAGACCCCTTCGTCGGCGAATGAAACAGTGACAAATGAATTATTTTATTTAAATGGAGAAAAAAAAAATTAAACTCTCTTAGCTTGTGTCACAGAGAAAAGGATGATTTTACTTCTACTAGTTTATTCCCCCTCGCCCACCCCATAAACACACACTCACTTTTATTTATAGTTTACAAATGTGTGCCCTGAAGTGACGACAACCTTGCACTTTATTTAATCGTGTTTACCTTGACAGCCCTTGACAGTCTGAGCTACAACATCACCCCCTCCCCCCCACCCCCACCCCCTGTTGGACTCTTATCAGCATTGAAATCCGTCTTTGAATCATTCAAACCGTCTTCACCACCTTTACCCCCGATGAGAAATCCACACTTGTTACACACAGTTAGCTTACTCTTCAAATAAAGAACATTGTAGAGCATCTTACTCTTCCAAGACCCGATTGCATTTTATACAGGCTTTCATTTTAACTTTTTTAAAAAAAATGTATTGGTTTAAAATAAAGCCGAAATTGGCTTTAATGTACATTTAAGTTATATAGGTTGTTTTTTTTTTCAAAAAGCTAAAATTACCCGCTGCTATAAGATTGTAGTAGCATGAACACATTAAATTATTTAAGCTGAACTAACAAAATAGTTTTTAAAATTATCTAGAAAAAATGGCCTTGGCATTCTAATTAAACACTCACACAACATATGACGTAAGAACTTTAATTTTTTGTTGTTTTTTAAATATTATATTTCTTGAAAAGATAATAATTAATTAGCGAATAAATAAATGCACGTGCTATTCGTGGAGGCTAATTTAAAACCACTCGCTCTGGCATCGTTCAAGAACGCTGTCCTTGTTAGAAGAATTAGTCCCGTTGGGCGGGAGGATCTCTTCGAGGCTACTTGGCTTCACTGAGAATGACCATCGGGTATCCCTGCATTCTCACTTCACGTCAATCAGAGTAGAAATTCCAAGTGGTTGATAGAATCAGATAACATTTTTTAGTACAGGTTTTTTTTTTTTTTATTGTTCAGTGCTCTTCATTCGACGCACTTGCACTTTAAAACTATACTGTCAATCATGGGTTAAATTAAATCGTCCTTTTCAATAAGGAAATAATAAATCAATCAGCTGATTAAAAGACAAACAAACAGCAACATGCACTGTTTGAGATTACGTTTGGTTTTAAATGAGACTGATCAGTGATAAATTAACTTGTCGGGAACCCGTGGACAGCCCGCAGATTTGCTGTAAATCTATTCATTTAGGAAAAAATACATATGGTATGAAATATGACATTATCTTTCTTATGAAATTATTATTTAAAAATAATTATATATATATATATATATAGAGAGAGAGAGAGATAGATAGATTTATATATATATATATATATATATATATATATATATATATATATATATATATATATATATATATATCTATTTAAATATATATTTATATATATATATATAGATATATATATATCTCATAAGACTACAATGATCATAATTTTAAAAACTACAGCGAGCAGTCTTAAGACATCTATCTACTAGATACTTCGGTTCTTACACCATCCACTCCTAAAATGATTTTTCCGCATAGAGGAAAATGTGACCCATCAAAATACAACTAGCTGCATCTTTGTTTCTTTGGCCAGATAATTCATAGGATATTGGGCAGCTTTTAAGCGTCTAGTTCATTTAACAGTGCAATCGACCCACAATTCAGCATGGTCTTCTAGTGACAGACGCAAAGTTATCTTATCTTAAGGCCGTGACACGTTCCTGTTCAATTTAGGTCAGCGATTAAATAAAAAAAGATAATTGACTCGATGCTTACTAATTATATTTTTTTTTAAATGGCGCGTACTTTGAATACATTATGATGGTAAGCAATATTCAACAGAACATTTTATTTTCTGAAATAAAACTATCCGTATGTTTTCATGTAATATATATAGTGACATAACGCCAAAAGGCTGATATGATTTAAGTACGTTCGGATTCCTAAATACAGTCATAGTTATTTTTTAAATCTTATTTTACGAAAATCGAATAAATTTACATGCACAAAAAATATTATATTTCTACTTTTATTTTAGCAAAAATTTAATTATTATTTTTATAAATTATAAAACACATTTAAAGTTACAAATAAGGATTTATTTTAAGCATTTGTATGCGTTTGAAAGTTATGAAAAAATGAAAAAATTAAAAAATCATGATCAAAGGATTACACCGTAATCACATTTATCGGGAAAACCCCAAACATTAGTCGTTTTTAGTGCATCTTTTAGTACGTTGTTAATATTGCGAAATAAAAATTAAATTAATTTGATCTAAATAATCACACAAATGACGTCATAGCGCAAATCGCCTATTTAGCAAAAACTCTCAGGTTTCTTTAAATTTAATAACCGCGCGTGACAAAACTGATAATGTGTTTTCCCTTCTTAAAAGTAAAATTAATAAATACAATTGATTGCTTTTTAATTTTTTAAATAAAACACACACACACATTTCAGCTGTGTATATATTTACATTTAAAAAGTTTTACCCTTTTTTTATTCCAAAAATATACATTTATTAAAATTATAACTTAATTAAAAACGAACCTTTCAATATAATTCTAATAAAAACATGCGGTTTAAGTCATACAGTGCAGCGCAACTCCATAGCTAAATAGCACTGACTTGTCAACTTATAACTAAAACAAAAAAGAACGAACCATATGAAGTTTGAGCATGGAAGGGACTAAAATCCGGTGGAAGATTTTCTAAATTTGTTTGAATCTGGGTGGGGGAGGGGTTGGTCACTTTGCTCCAGGAAGCACACGTTACATCACAAAATAAAGGAATGAATTTGATAAAAAATTAACTTTATTTGGTACTCTCATATCGCTGGTAATGAAATAGGATCTGTAAATTCTTATGTCGATGACAACAGAGTTAACTTCTATAGTATTACATTTGTGAGAAAATGAGATGTTACATTCTATTTTTACAAATATTGGTATGTTCATTTTGCTCAAAGCAATACAAGATATCTCCCAAATTAAGGAATTAGTTTGAATAATAATTAATCTTTCTAGGTACATACATATCGGAGATAGAAAAAAGGATGTGGATGTGAATATATTTAAATCCCATGGTATTAAATTTGTAAAAAACGAGATATTAAATTGTCTTTTTACAAATAACATAGGTTTACCAAATAAGAAAACCAATGGCACTAAAAAATCATGGGTACATTTATATAAGTATATCCCTGAATATCAAAACACAATCATTTTACACACTTAAAAATTAAATTTTGACAAATGAAGATGGGTTAATATTTTCTTTTTTTCTTTTTTTTTAAATGAAAAAATATTTTTGTTGTTACTTTGCAAAAAGTAAAGAGGTGTGTACTTTTATGAGACTAACAATTTAATTTTTTTTTAAAGGCATCAAATCCGATATAGGTGTGAAAAACAGTTCTTCTTCTATAAAAGAATCATTTGTTTTACGATTTTTGATATTGTATAATTTTTAAAAAAGGCAAAAATGTGTTAAAATTTTTGATGAAGATATCAATATATATCGAATTCCTGTAATACAAAATATATGTATATCATTCATAAAGTTTTTATTGTAAATTTAAGATTAGGTTTTTTAAAAATTTTAAAGAAAATGTTGTAATTTAAGGTTACGAAAAGGGGTAAATCTAAAGTATTTCTCTAGCTTAGTAATTGTCCCTCAATTAACTTCTTTAGTGACAAATGGGATATAATTAGTGATAATTTAGACTGGGTAATTTCAGGTCATCTTTAGAGGGAGGGAAGTAGTTTACGAGCGTGAAAGGGTGTAGGGTACGCGTGTCACATATAGCAGATAAACACTTCTCAAAACTTAATGATGTTAGAAACGTAAATATCAATACATTTTAAAAGTTATGAATTGGGATGAGTTTTTGCAATAGCGGTTAGACATTATTGCAAAGGACCTACCATTATTATCCCAATAACATCGGGTCATTTATTCTAGTATATATATAAATTATTGCTATGATCTTTTTCAAGCTTATCCGTGTATGTACCTTGATATTAAACAAAGTTATAAAATTATTCAAATAATAAAATTAAGAGCATACTCTTCTGTTTAATAAGACTAGCAAAATACTCTACTGTTGAATAAAACTATTAAAATAATCTAGTGCTGAATAAAAAACTGCACATTTCTTATCGGTTCTCTTGCAGGTACGCAGACTCCCGCTGCAGCAGTACTCACGCGCCAATGGAGGCCTTCAACTTCCGGTACACAACAAAGCCGCACATCTTCTTCGGGCCAGTTTGTGACTACGCCCTGGCACCCGTGGCCAGGTTTTGTTCCGTCTGGAAAACGCCCGTCGTGTCGACCGGCGGGTTCTCCCACAGTTTCCTCATTGATAAGCACGGTAATTTACATGTGTGGCCTACCCCACGTGATACCCCGGCGGTTCTCAAGTCAATTAACGTGGGATTTAAAAATAAAAATAATACATTTTAAAATAATATGTAAAATCTTGATTTTGAAAATACTAATCCATATTATATGACTCTCTGGCACATCGCAACTGGAACCGAAATAAGAAGTTTATTAGTTAGCTGCGTCAAAATGGATGATAGAAGAAAAATAAAAATAATTCAAGATAAAATTAATCAGGTTCAAGTTCAATACATGTACTCAAATTGTTTAAAAATATGGTTTCAGCTGACAATGTTAAACATATTTTCTAACAAGAAATTACATGTTTGTTTTTGTTTTAATTGTTTGTTTTTTTTAAATTAAAGAACCAACTTGTGATATCTGCAGTCTTTTTAGAAATCTGTTAAATGTAATTTTTATACATTTACGCTACATAGGTTAATCATTAAAAAAAATATATCAGTAGTGCTGTGTCACAGAACGGTTGCTACGGAGGAGGGCTCCGGTCCTGACTTATCGCAAACTGTATTGATGGTCAGTGCAGGACCGCTCCTCTCTGTGAATTATATGTTGAGTATCTAGGCGTTGGGACCGACAAAGCACACAGACTTGAACGAGAACGAAATCCAAGAACTCAAACTCCAGGTGTCCAATGATAAAATAGACAGACTCAAATTTGTTACTCAATTAAAAATTCTTTAGTAGTTTTCACTAACTGTCAGCTATCTACGACAGTTTCCAAACTGTTAAACTATATCGTCTCCTATGTTCCACTAGTCATCTGTCGTGTCCTGATCTCTTGCGACTGTTACTTAACAACTGCTCAACTCTGCTGTACCTATGTTCCCTCTTCCTCAACTAACCTTAACTCCGTAAAAGCTCTGTCTTATATGTGATTCTCTACCCCCATAGATGGTCCAGGAATGCTATCTATAAACCCACCCCTACCCCTTAAATTCCGGTCAGTTAGAACTTCCAATTGTTAACCCAAAATTTATCATGCCAAGTCATGGAAAGAAACCATCCCCTCTATCTCCAAGATGCGACAATTTATTAACCTTACTTTACCCCCATCACAATGGCGTCCCTAAACTAACAGCAGTGTCCGTCCATCCAATGAGTTTAAAAAAAAATCTAAGCGATAATTCGATTATTTGATCAGTTAACCAACAAAAATATCAAATAGAAAAATTATCATTATGCGATAAAAAAAATTAATACGTTATTTCAGAAATTAAATACAATATTTTAAAATTTAATTAATTAATTTTCTTTTTTTAAATTTCAATCATAAAATGTTAAACAAAGACTCCACAACGATTTGTGAAGGGTTACTAACTCTCGTAAACTTGAAAGAATCATGCATCATGTCTGTCGTAACTTTAAAAAAAAAATAATAATATTTAAAAGAAATAATACCAACGTAAATTAACTAAAGAGGTGTGTCAGAAAATTTTTTGGACAGATGAGGAAAAAAAAAAAAGAAGATTTTTGTGAAACCCTCCTCAGAGTACCCCTTGTTGACGCGTACCGGGATGACCTTTAACGGTATGGCCTGGGCCCTGGACGGCATATTCAGGGCCAACCAGTGGCAGCGCATTTTGATCGTCTATGAGAAAGTAGGATTCCCGAACATAGAACCGGACAATTTCTGCTACCTTGGCGGCTCGGCCCTTGTGTTTCACAGCAAGCATTACGTCACCGGCCACCCGTACGAATTCGTGCTCTTCGACCCGGACAGGGTCAAGGCCGAGAGGCTGCTCATTGAAAAGATTGGACTCAACTTTGGAGGTAAGTTGTTTTTGTTTTTGTTGTTTTTTGGTGTTTTTTACAGTAACGGACTGAGGACACGTTATCTAGAGCAGGGAATTCAAGATAACCACCAATCTGGGAAATTCTTGAAAACTGGCTTTTTTTTTCCCCAGGACTAACCTCGAATCCTTCGCTTTGCACATCTGACATATTTAAATCTCACATTTTAACACCGAGCAAATTTTAAGGAACGTAACCCACCAATGACTTTAAAAAAAATTTTTTTTTTAATCTCTAAAAAAATATTTTAAAAAAGATATTTAAAAAAAAATATAATCTGGATTTGAATATATTTTTATTAATGAATTTCAAGGGGGAAAAAAGTAACACTTAGGAAAAAAAACTAAACTTGGGATTTTGCAACCAAAAAAAAAATTAAAATTAGAAATAAAGATATAAATATGCACCTTTATATCTTAAAGGAGAAAAAAAATCATCCTCTGTCCTTATAATATATATTCCACGCTTCCCAGATCGGACAACCTGAGTTCCTTATATTGTTAGATACGCATTAACAACAACAACAATAATAATAATAATAATAATAATAATTATAATTATAATAATAATAATAAACTATTTCATTTAAAACGATTGACTCAAAAATTCTGTGAAAGAAGCGATATTTCCAACTTAAGACATGTTCCCATTAATAAAAAAATTATAGCGGTGTCGCTGGTCTTTTTTTTTTTTTTTTACAATATATGGGGTAGAAAATCTAAAAAGTTTGAGAGCCCTTGCGTTATGATAAGCAGAAAGACATGTTCACGTGTGTGGATCTTTTTGTTTTCGACTACAACAGCAGTTTCTTAATGTATATATATATATACAAATATACATATATATATGTGTGTGTTTTCGTAATTTTTTGTTCCTCTGACCCACTTTGTAGTCAGACGAAGGCTGCAGCAACCTTCTTGGAAAATATATTTTTAATTTTTTTACGGACACCCTGTCACTGCCTCGTTGACCCCCCCCCCTCCCCACACCCTCTTCCCCAGGTTTAGTTTTTTTCATTTCCTTAATAGTTTTCTGATTACTGTGAAGACGTTTGATTTTAGTTTAAAGAGTAGAGCTCGACTTTCTGGGACATTTTACTGCCGACCTGTGTGACATTTCAACGATTCGACGAATCAACTAGACAGCTCCCTCTTTCCCCCCCCCCACACCACCCTTCACCGCACCCACCCCAGACTGACCATCATTTCACGGGACATAACCCCGCGAGGGCTTCAGTGGCCCAGTTGATGACTCCATCGGAAGTAACTTCCCTTTTGAGACATGGAGATCCTTTACACGCATTACCTCCCTTGAGTTACAGATAACGCCACAGGGGGGCATGAGAAGTANAAAAAAAAATTTTAAAAAAGTTAAATAAATTAAAAAAACAAAAAAAATAACACCACAAAAAAAAAAAAAAATTTTCAAAAAAAAAAAAAATTTAAAAAAAAAAAAAAAAAAAAAGAAAAGAAAAAACGGTAGCTAGAAAAATTCACCAAATTCCGACACCAAATCTTTGGTCTTGACCCACAGCTGGCAGATGAGATTAGAGATGCGTGATCGGTGCGCTGTGAGCGTGCTAAAATAGCATGGACACAAGCGCTGTAAAAGTACGCAGTCATCATAATCCATTTTTTAAAAGGCACAATACATATATATAAAATACACCCCAAATTCGCCTCTTCCCACTCATGTCAAATGAGCTCAACGTGTTCGTGATTCTATCTGTCTATGAAACCTGAACAAAGCGTGTGCCTTGCTCCTACGGTCTATAAAACGCTCCAAAAATATGGACACGATTCAATATGTCTATAAGACTTACCTCAAATGTCTACATCGTTCCAATGGTCTTCAAAAAATTGTTCCATATATCTACATGGTTCCAAATATCTATAAAACTTGCCCCAAATGTCCACATGATTCCAACCATTAATAGAACTTGCCCCAAATGTCCACATGATTCAAAATCATTTATAAAACTTGCCCCAAATGTCCACATGATTCCAACCATTTATAAAACTTGCTCCAAATGTCCACATGATTCCAACCATTTATAGAACTTGCCCCAAATGTCCACATGATTCCAATTATTTATAGAACTTGCAGCAAATGTCCACATGATTCCAACCATTTATAAAACTTGCCCCAAATGTCTACATGATTCCAACAGTCCAGAGTGCTTACATGGTCCTTACTCTCTCTTCCTGTTTAATGACGCATACCGTATAACGACTTCGTGAGGGGAACAAAGACCCAAAAATGAAGACTTTTAAGTGGTATCGTTTAACATTTTTTTTCTTTTCAGATCACTCAAATCACTTTCACTGGGAATCTGCGCCACCCCCCCCCCCTTTTCCACAAACCACTAGAAATCTTGCCACAGTCGAAATTAGCAGCATAATTTCTATTTTATATACGTATAGATTTTAGATTTAAAACAAGATTGAGCCAGCTTTGTATTTACGTGTTCATTGTTACATATAAAGCAATTTTTTTTTTAAATTTTCAATTTATGACTTCTTACAGGCCTAAAACCTCCATGCTGTTTGAAACATACATCGAACCCTTTGAACATAGTAATGATTTATTTTTTTTTTGAAATAACAAAAGCAACATCTTGAAAGATTTAGCGCAACTTTCTTCATATTTCCCAACTAATCATAAAAAAAGCACAGGAACACAGACCAGAAATTCCAGTCTCTTGGCAGGGGAGACAACTCTGACATCGTAAAGGCTCTCCCCGAAGGGATGTAACTCATTAATTTGGCCGAGTTAGCGTTGAATGAAGGATTTTCACGTCTGGTAGATAAAAATCGGGTAAACATAATTACGAAGATGGCATCGTGAACAATGGATCGGTTTGTGGTGGTGTGGGGGGGGGGGGTGACTCCATGAGAAAATTGTATCAAGTTTGTGTTACAGCCTTTTGATTTAAAGTATTGATTTGGGCCATGGGGGGGGGGAGGGGGTTGTATTGTGGACAGGGGGGCGGGACTATTGATGGATGCCTATACAGTGGCTGATATTTTACACTGCGGGGGGGGGGGGGGGG